ATGAAGTACACATATTATACACATGAAGTACACATGTTGTACACATGTTGTACACATGAAGTACACATTATACACATGAAGTATACATGTTGTACACATAAAGTACACATGTTGAAAGAAATTCTGATGTTTCCTCAAGAAAAAAGTTAAGGTGTATATAATAATAAAATATAAAAATTTGGTGAATGATGACTATATTAGAAATAGGATTTTCTTTTCTTCTTTTACTTCATCCTGTTTTCCTTCCAGTTCTCTTAAAGAGTCGTTATTTTGGTGATGCTCCACTCTGTGAACAAAAGAAGGTAAATAATAAAATAATATATGTTAAACAGTCACATTGTTATATACCTAATAAAAATGAATGTGTCAACAATGAGTAAATCAAAATTCCTTTGGATCAAACACATACACTTTACACTCAGTGACTACAGTGATGCTGTGTATTTATGAATGTGTTCAACGTTCTGTTGTGTAACAACAAATCATGAAAAATGAGTCTGATCATGCAGAAAATGTGTACTTTGTGTTTGTGTTCTCACCAGCTTAGTCCTTTTTGGCTGTCTCTCTCTCTGAATCCTGAGAGGCCTCATTTGCAGATACCACTGTATGCACGCACACACACACAATAACTCAGTTTGACATGTTTTACTTTTATTACACTAATGTCTTTTTGTTTGACGTAATTTTCCAAACATTGTTTATACAACTCAACCGTCTCAATTCACTCAGGGCAGAACAGAAGAGCTAATAATCCTTTTCATTCCCATGAGAGTCTCCTCATCTGCTTAACATGGTGACTTAATAAAACACACACAGCATCCAAAAGGAGTCCTGCAAAGGTTCATCCAATATTTATTACCACAACAGTATTTTGGGTACAATGGAAGATGGGATTTCACCCCTGAAATTATAAGGTGTTTTGTCACATTACATTAATAATTTATCTGTGTATACAGTAACTAGATTTTACGTAAATTATCTGGTTTATTGACCAGGAAAATTATTTCTATAAAGCTAACTCCAAATGAAAGTAGCAACTTTTGAAGAAGTGCATATTACCTGCTGCCTGTTTGAACAAAGATTTGAAACATTTGAATAAATGAAATAAATTACATTTATTTTGAACATTCTTATGTGGGAGTTCTGCTCTGCCAGCTCCTGCACCCACAGCTAAGCTCTAATTAGCAGCACCTGAGGATCATCAACGTGATGAACAAGAGGAGCATAACAGGCTGCAGAGGACATTCAGTCAGTACTGGAGCATTACCTGCCAATGGTAGTTCTGTTCTAGCCTTTTACTTGTGTCTTAAACTGAATATTAACAACTTTGCTTCCAGTTTATAATTCCTGATGTCCTCCTGTCCCCCTGGATCCTCCTCTGTGGACCTCGAGCTCTCCTGTGCCTCCCCAGCTGCCTTCACATCTTCCTACCACTTGCCTGTCTCCTGCCATTGTTCAGACATACACCTTCTTCACCTGGAACCATTTGGGTCAGCTCTCCCCACTACTGACTCCTACCTCTATTGTAAGAAAGATCAGCAACAACATTATCACCCCTACCAACAGACCATTAATTATCTCCTCGCTCTTCAGGATTCCAACTCCCTCCCTGGCTCATTGTATGATTCACCACCTTGTAAATAAACACTGTAAATACATCTTGAGTCTTTGTATCTGTTCTCCTCAGTCCTTGTATCCGGGTATAGCTGCAATCGTTAAATCTTACAAAAATAAAAATCAGGGATTAATAAACAAAATAACTGGTGGACATTAAATATAAAAACATATTAATATATCAATATGGGGTGAGATGACAATCAGCACCTCCAAATCTGAGGCCGTGGTCAGAAAAGGGTGGATTGTTCTCTTTGGGTCGAAGGTGAGGTTTCCGCCTCAAGTGGAGGAGTTCAAGTATCTCAGGGTTTTGTTCACGAGTGAGGGAAAAATGTTGCATTAGATTGATTGACAGACGGATTGGTGCAGCATCTGCATTATTGTGGACTCTGTACCGGTCCGTTGTGGTGAAGAGAGAGCTGAGCTGTAAAGCAAAGCTCTCTGTTTACTGGTTGGTCTACGTTCCTACCCTCACCTATGGTAACAAGCTCTGGGTAGTGACCAAAAGAATGAGATCATGGATACAGGTGGTTAAAATGAGTTTCCTCTGCAGGGTAGCTGGACTCTCCCTTAGAGATAGATGATAGACCTCTATTTTATAAATGGCAAATCTGGAAAGACAAAAAGAAAAACATATCTTATATTTTATGTTTGAAAGGAAATAAATGCAACAAAGTTCAGGCAGGTCATCTGGATGGTTCCTTTTTTTGTAGAGATGTTTCATCCTTCATCCGAAGGACGTCATCATTCTGAGGAGCCACAACAAACTGAATCGCATAAGCAGCACACCCACATGGATCAACCAGTTTGCTGGCGACAAGATGGTTTCTGGGGCCCGCCCTCTCTCCCCACCGACTCCTCTGAGGCAGCCGTAGTCAAAGTGGTTCAAAACATCAAAGTTCATGCTCAATAATCCAGGTAGAAAATCCAACAAAGTTCAATCAAGTCAAGAAAGCAAATGTTAAATATTCCTAATCCCAATTTCACTCTTCACATCTCCCTGTCAGTCTTCTACTGGGAGAAGTAGTGGTCAGGTAGGTCACTGAGACAGCAGGTCCAGAAAAGAAACCCAGACCTCCCTCTGCCTAGAAACTCTCTCCACTTCCTCTTTGGAGACCCTGAGGCATTCCCGGGCCAGAGAGGTTACATCATTTCATTGAAGTCTGGTTCTGGCCCAGGGCCTCTTTCCAGAGGGATGTGCCCAGAAAACCTCTTGAGGGAGGCATCCAGGAGGATCCTAGTCAGAAGCAAACCACGTCAACTGACTCCTTTCAGTACGGATGAGCAACGGCTCTTTTCCGAGCTCCCCACTGATAACCGCCACCCTACGCAGGGAGCTCATATTGACTGCATGTAAATGGATTTTATTATTTCGTTCAAGATCCATAGATCATGACCAGAGGTGAGGGTTGGCCCTTAGACCGGCCGGTAAAGTGAGAGCTTTGCCTTTTGGATCAGCTCTTTCTTCACCACAACAGACCGAAGCTACACTCACACTACCTACACCATAGAAACCTGGAAAACATCATCACAACTTTTGTTCTCTAGACATTGTCCATAATCCACAGCTACACTTGATTTTAGAGTACAAGTCGTGGATGACTCTCAGTTACTACCATGCTAAATTGTAGCTCAGTATTTGTCAGAATGACAGAGTTATAGTCGTTCTAGTTGGCTAAGATCAATTAGCTTTAGTGGTTATAATGAACAGGGTTGCCTCAGGCACAAGCATGTACATGATCGCCTCCTTTCTTGACAATCATCTCTGAGCTGACTGGAATCATCCAGACTTTGCGGAGAGTTGACATCGTTGTGTTTAATGTGGAGCAGCAGGGTGTGATCAGTCTGCAGGCAGCTCAGAGCACAAACACAAAGAGCTGCTCGACTGCAGCTGCTGCTCCGACATGTTCGTGCTTCAACCAACACGCCGAAGACAAGCTGTCGCTCTTCACCGTATGACTGAATTCTGACTTTCATGCTGTTATCAGTTCAGCCTTAAGGTCTGTCAGCTGTCAGTAAATCAGCAGCTGATTGACTCCATAAGGGCTCAGGGTTGCTAGCTTTGCATGCCTGTTGCTTTTTATTGTCATGTGTTAGGAAACAAAATGGATTGACTGGAGTATTCACTGATTACCTGGATGTCATCAAGACTCGTTGAGCTTCACTGAGCCCATTTTTTCTCATCTGTCACTCTCTGTTCAGCTCTTTCTGCTTGCTTTAAGTGTTTAACACATGCCTCCTTTGATTTATCAGCTGTTCAATGTTTTATGTTATGAGTGCTTAGTGTATATTTAGTTGATGTTTTTCTTAGTTCATATCTTAGATGTTACTGTTTTTCTTATACATTTTATTGTTGGATGTAACTGGGACCCTGTGTACATAATTTCGCTCCACCACATGTACCACATGAGGTGCGAATGACAATAAAGAAACTCTGACTCTGACTGACTCTGACTTTATCATTCTTGCTTTCATACGACCTTCACCTAAAATCTGTCTCCTGAATTAACTCTGAAGATTGAATCAACATGACAGCTTTGTCAGAAGAAATGTTCTGTTTAATTGGGTTAATCAGTGAGCAAGAAAAGCTGTTAGGAACTCCCTCAAGAAACTTCTGAACAATGTCTTTCATTATGAAAACAAAATTATCCAACAGCTCTGTAACTGTGGAGAAAACATGATGTGCCATATTGGATCGCAGCAGATGTCACCTAGCATAGGCTGCATGATAATACTCTGAAAAATACTCTGTTGAAATGTTCAAAATGAAGCTACTTGGTTATACTTGAAATTTTTAACCTGTTTATGGATGAATAAAAAAGCTTTCAGAAAGTAAACTATTGAATGTACATCCACTAATAATTACCATCATCTTTCTTCAGATTCATAACATCTGCCACGGCCTGCTTAAAAACATAAAACGACTATAACTCAGTTAAACAGATGTTGTACCAAGGCTTTGAGTCATTCACAACTCATACTCTGAGCATGGCATCCTGTAAATCCGCTCCTTTATTTTCAAGGTTTGAACAAAATGGCTCCAAATCAATCATTTTTCAACACTACATGATTTTATACTTATACTCTGGCAATAAACACGGTGGGTGAAATTTCTTCTAAGAACGGTAGGTAGGTCTTTAATTGTTTTATATTTTAACATAACAATGCTGGAGTTGTGATGGTATATCATACCTTCTGGTGATGGTTCAAGAGCAGGTTCTGGAGCTGAGGGACCTTCAGATTGTCCCAGGGTGGTCTCCACCACAAGAGCCTCTGCTGTGGACTCTGAGGTCACACCTTCTGGTGGTGCTTCTGCTTCTGCCTGTGAAAGAGTTTCTGAGGCTGTTGGTGCAGGAGCAGGAACTTCTACAGTTTGGACCTGCTCAGCGGTCGGGGTGACCTCTGTGGGACAGAGCACCTCTTCTGGTGGGGCAGTTTCACTGGGGGCTGTGGACGCCTTTGTTGCTTCCTCTGAGACAGGCTCAGGCTCAGTTTGAGCAGAGGATGAAGGCAGCTCTGGAATAGTTGCTTCAGCAATAGCTGTGTCGATGAAAGGCTCAACAACACCTGCAGGCTCTGAGAGCTCTGAGGGCTCTGAGGGCTCTGAGGGCTCTGAGGGCTCTGAGGGCTCTGAGAGCTCTGAGGGCTCTGAGGGCTCTGCGTCTTCATTTGGTACTGAAACTACACCTGGTATTGGTGCTTCATCAGCTGCAAAGAGCTCATTGGGTTCATTTTCAGTAGGTGCCTCTGGTGCAAGATAGTCAGTTGGTTCCTCTGCTTGTACAGATGAAGCTTCTTCAGCTGGAGCTTCAACAGCTGCTGCTTCTTCAGCTGGGGCTTCAGCAGCTGCTTCAGCTGGGGCCTCTTCCACAACCAGCGGGGTCATTGCTGGCTCTGAAATGTCTGGTTCAACTGCTGGTTCAGCAACCACTTCCTCAACAAGATCTGAGGCCTCTGCCTGTACTGCTTCTGCAGGTTCCACTGCTGCTACAGCAGCTTCAGGCTCAGCAGAACCTTCCACTTCAGATGAGTTTGCAGGTATTTGCTCTTCACAAGCAGCAGTTTCTGGCTGTGGCTCTGGAACTGCTAGTAGGTCCTCCCCAGAGCCGAGATCCTCCTGAGCCTCCATAGCCACCAACACAGCCTCCTCCTCATTTACAGCTCCGGGTTTAGCTTCATGTGGTGGAGCAGTCTGCCCAGGCAGCTGCAGCTGGTCCTCAATGGGCTGTGCATCTTCTGCAATGATGCCATTTTTTACTGCTGTCAACACAAAGACAACAGAATTACACATTAAGACACCCTGAACTAACGTGCTGACACCAGCCTGTGAAATCCTGTTAGTTTATGACACCATCTAAGAAAACCTTTATGAAATTATGGTTTTGTGAGTGTGTATATCAACTGAATGATTTAAATGAGTAAATATCACAGCTTTTATTTATCATATTTTTCACCCTATAAGTCACTTTTTTTGCATAATTTACATGCACTGCGACTTGTACGCTGAAGCGACATATTTATGGAGTTTCCCCCATATTGATAAAAACAATATTTGGTTGAGATATGACAGTTTCCCTTCATTCTGACTGAAAATATTGAACACTACCATTTTCAGCCACTAGATAGCACTCGAGTAGTAAGGCATGCTGTTGTATCATGCAATAGGTAAAAGTGGCTATTAATGACACAATCCGCTTGCCTTAACCTGTCACCGTTGTCTGCCTGGTGCAACCGAATCAGCTTCATTCCGCTGCGCCGCCCTGGCGAAATGCAGCTGATTTGACCGTCAAAGTGCATTTATTAAGTAAAAGTTCAACTGAGACACACCTTTACTATAAAGTCGAGCAAACAAATAAATGTTTTTAGGTGGTTATCTTGTGGCAGCAAGGTGGCGCAACTGGTAGAGCTGCTGCCTCTTAGTGAGCAGGTCCCCGGTTCAAATCCCTATCCGGGGGCCTTTCTGGGTGGAGTTTGCATGTTCTCTCCGTGCATGCGTGGGTTTTCTCCAGGTGCTCCAGTTTCCTCCCACAGACCAAAAACATGCATGTTACTCTAAATTGTCCCTAGGTGTGAGTGAGAGAGTGAATGGTTGTTTGTCTCGTTTGTCTCTGTGTCCCTGTGATGGACTTGAGACCTGTCCAGGGTGTACCCCGCCCCTCACGACAAAGCGATATATTTATGGATTTTTCCACTTTATTAGACATATTTGGACTGATGCGACTTATAGGGCAGTGTGACGTGTACGGCAAAAAATATGGTAATCACATAAAATAAGAAATGTTTTGTTTTACTAATTATTAATAACTTGGTAAATATTTATTTGTTTTTAACTTCCACATTGTGTCCAGAGTTCTTGGGAAAACTTTGCTGGGCTGTAGAAATGTGTTTTAATTTAACAGACTGAGAGAGAGTGAAAAAAAGAAAAGGCTGAAAAAACATCTTTTCATTTCCGTTCTTGAACGATGGATTTATTGAAGCCCTGAGGACCTGCGTTCTGAGAGGAAATAAAGCACACGAGATTTTTAAAGAGCCAAATTCATCATTACTGTCACATCTGTTTTTGTTGCAGCCGGTGTTTGCCGTCACCATTTGGTTGGTGTGAGAAACTTCTGTCTCTGAATTCATTTTACACATATTAGTTTAGGAAGTCCCGGCATTCTGACATCCTGTTTCATTATTATTAAGGGTGCCAGTGAAGAGCATTGAATCACATTTGTTCCTATCCTGTTCCAAACTTCTCTTCTGAATCTCATTGCACAACTTAGAAGAAAAAAAACATCCAAATTACACAAAATAAAGAATTAATGTGCTATAACTGCTGGTAGCCATGTGGTGCACAACATAGACAAATAATAAAAAAATGCAAGGATAAAAAAGGAGATTACCAAGATTTTGGTGAAACAGATGAGAAAACCCAGCCCTTTGTGGAGCTCACAGCTCACGCAAACTTCAACTGACAGCTGATGTCACAATGACTTGAGCTGTCTAAAACTTTCTCATCTCTTGCAAACCATTTTACTTTCACAACTCTTATTGGGACATGTACAAGGTATACATAAAAACATAGACATTTTTGTCTACTTTCACCCAGTGTGCCTCTCATTGTGACAGAGCCTGGGGCTTTCTATCAAACTGCTGAATACCTTCAGGTGAATTGCCATCAAATGGTAAATGGACCTTTCTATCTAGTCAAGATACTCAACGTGCTTTACAACACAACTTGGGCCCTCGTTTACCTCCAGCGCACACATTCATGCAGCACTCCATTACATCTCTACAAAGCTAATCTGACTCTGTCAGAGCTTCATCACATTCACACACTGATGGGACACACAGCGGAGGCAATGAGGGGTTCAGTGTCTTGTCCAGGGACACTTCAGCATGTGACTGCTGGTGGAATCAAACCCCCAACTCTCCCACTGGAGGACGACCGCTCTAACCACTCAGCCACAGCTGGAATCAAAGGTAATAAAATTGTATAATTTAACATATTGTATTTTCTGGCGTATAAGTTGCATTAGTCAAAAAAAAGCATCATGAAGAGGAAAAAATATATAAGTCACTTGGGTGTATAAGTTGCATTTATTATGCGTTTATTTAATGGTCAAAACAGCTTAATTTTGCCTGGGCGGCGTGGCGTGTCGCCATCCATCCATCCATCCATCCATCCATCCATCCATCGCTGCCAGAGCTGCTAACTCTCCAGTGTTCCTCCTCCTGCGCCAGCTGAGTGAAGCGAGCGCACACAGGAGGACTCGCTGTTGCAGTTCTTTGAAATTTAAAGTGTCAGTCAAAAATTGAGTTATGAATATGAATAAAAAACCGTATGTTAGTTGCTTTGGCGTATAAGTTGCAGGACCGACAAATGTATGCACAAAACCGCGACTTATAAGTCGGAAAATACGGTAGTTGTCATACAGCAAGTTTGTTTGAGGCGTACTTTTCAGTCCACGTTTCTGTCTACCTCTCAATAATATGGCAGTATGTAATTGACAAACAAGTGTGCGTGGTTACCATGGTGACCATAATAAGCCACTTGCATCAGCTTTAACATTTCTTTTGATCTTCTTTACACTTATTTTACTGTTTAAAAATGAAAGAGTAGAAATGTTAGATTATAATAGTCACAACGTTATGCTGGAGTTTGTGCAGTAGGTGTATGACCCTGTTTCTAGTTTTATGTTGTGCTTGTGAGCTAAAGCATGTATTATTCTCAGGCGAGATGAACCAGAAGGGTTCGGTTGGCTAGCTGAGCAGATCATTTTAACGTGGCAGCTCTTTGATTTTGTTTCTGTCAGGAGGGATAAAGAAGTTCAGAGCGATGAGTGGAAGGGAATGTGAGGGATGGGCAGCTTGTGGGAAAACAAGCCAGTGGATGAACATACAAAGATGATGCGAGGCAAACTTTTATTAATAACTTCCCTTTTGATTGTTCAACTCTGCTGTTGTTTAATTTTATTAATTAATTAATGTGTTTCCATAATTTCCCCCTTTTGGAGCAGCACCAGACATGGAGCAGAGCAGAGTGGATGTTACTGTTCGGGTCGAGACAAACGCCACCATCGAGAGCGTACCCATGTGTCAACACGATGATGCAGCCAAAGACGACACAGATCCCAGTCAAAACACAGTCATGTCTGGCTGGAAGCACAGGAGAGACAAGCAGGGGGGACAGGGCCAGACTGGGGGTGGGAGCAGTGGGGGCTTGGATGGCGTGTGTCTGCTCTGTTAGACAGTCTGCACACTGTCTGAACCCAAACGTCAGACACAGTCCAACACGTTTGGAGTGGCCTGGCTGGGTGCTCCATACAACACTTGGTTTTCTTGCCAGGATGATGTAAGAGTCTAGGACAAGACACGGGCTTGACCCGGTTTATGATGGTCTGTAAAAACAAGGGCCCGACATGAGCATTAGGCTAAAACACAAAGTTCTGATTGATTTTAAAAAATGCTACTGCAGCTGCTCCCTGACATTTTACTAAACATCTTCTTTCTTCTATTATGTCTTTCCTTTTTGATAAATCCTATAGTTTGGGTCGGCTTGGTTCCCTGAGCTGTCCTAGTTATGCTGCTATAGGCTTAGACTGCTGGAGGACAAATTGACCACGCTTCCTCCCTCTGCTGCTGTGTTTACTTGCTCTACTCTACCTGTTTGTATTTGTAATTATTTACATCTTCACGTGTGTTTTTTGTCTTTATTCCTATAGAAAGTTCACCTGGACCTGTCATTCTGTGTTCGTTTCTGCTT